GGTAACGGCTTAGTACTCGAAGAAGCTCAGAACCTAATGTTTCCAAAATTTGAATTTAATTAAAATCGATGCGATAAGTTTATCGCTATCTTCGATGGCCCGAACACACCCAGAACGCATATAGAACGTACCATCCCGGCGGTCAGGCGAAAAGGCCACATAACCATCCGCGCGGACGAATACCAGGAAGTCTTAGCTGGACCACCAACATTACGCCACCTATAAAGGCTACAACTAACAGGCTTTTCAGAAAATACAAAGATATGTACACAGATATTACGATTTCAGGGATATCGCGGCCAAAACATACCATACAAAGTCACGTTTCCGGCGATTTACTGCGCACTTACTTAGACTCTGGTCAGAATTAAACTCCGACCCGGAACTTTCAAATACCCCAAGTATGAAATTCCAGGCAGTTACTATTATGGAATTATAATAACATTATTATGCAAATTAAGTGTTAATTTACATAATCAATATCTGCCTGTGTTTCTCTTGTTCTCAATTATATATGTCACAAGCTTGAATAGTCCTATAATGTAATGCAGCTGATTTATAGAATTTCCTCATTAATTATGCAAATTACATCCATATTTGCATAATTGCCACATAATTATGTCAAGCGTCACTTAAGCTACCTACATACCAAATATCATGAAGATCCGTCCACCAGTTCTTGAGTTATCCTCTTATGAATATTTTCAAAGAAACGCCACTGCAGTTCCTGAGCAAGCCGCCCAAACCTATGTCACTTCTTTCCCAGCACAAGACGTACCTACCATCCAAATTTCATGACCCCAGCACATCCAGATCACGAGATATAAAAACCGGAAGTTCAGCTGCAGTACCATAAGAAGCCGCTAGGGGGCCCAAAATCTAATTATTTCGAGGTCTCATCAAGACCTACCCACCTATCAAATATGAAGTCAATCCATTTAAGCCTTCTCAAGTTATCGTGTTTACAGACAGACAGACAGACAGACAGACAGACAGACAGACACACACACACACACGAACGCCTACGAAAACATAACCTTCTTGGCGACGGTAATAACAATAAAAAGTATCTTTTGTATTATGTTTGCAGGTATTGGGAAAGAGAACTAAAGAAGTCAACACCCAAGAAACCCCCAAGCTTATCAAAAGCAATCATCAGATGCTATGGCTTGCGATATTTCCTGGTCGGATTTGTAAAGCTTTTCGATGTAAGTAACTATTTAACAAGCTACGTCAATTTTGCATCCAGTTATACGTTGTATGCTAAAATATGCTAAAATATTTACGTATGGTTTAGCATATATTACAAGTGGCATTTGGCAGAGTTTCTGGTGTTTGTGTCTTTTGTTTCTTATTGTCTTCCCACCCCTTCTTACAGGATACCTTAACGTTGGTTAAGCCTATTCTCATCGGCTACATCATTAAGTACTTTGAGCTCAGTAGCGGCATGACCCTGACCGATGCCTACATGTACGCTGGGATTCTTGCTGGTCTGCAGGTTTTCCAAGTCATCATCGGCTACTACGAATGGCCTGTCTATCTGTGGGCATTTCATTTTGAAACGGCGATCATGAATATGGCGAACGAAAAGGTACAGAAATGCCTTTCATTATAACTTAAGTGTATTAAATTTTATTGTTTTAGGCTTGTGTGTGTGACTGTAAATGTCGTAGGCACTTGCATGCGGCATTGTTTGTAACCACAGATTGACTATGAGATCAAGTTGGGAGTCCTAATGATCTCAGCAGACTAAGATGGATGGTTGGATGGATGGGTTGATGGACGGATGGATGGATGGATGGATGGATGGATGGATGGGCGTGTGGTACATGAAGCAGCAGAGAAAAAGAACTATTGCTATTTATTGCCGTGGTTGTTTTCTGTTCCCAGTGTTTGCGATTAAGCACGGGCGGCCTCTCAAAGACCTCAACGGGCCAAGTCAGCAACATTCTTGCCGACGATGTGCAAGCCTTCAAGAAGGTCAGTTGCTTACTAGTGTCGCTGGATAACAGATATGAACTAAAGATAACAATACCTCTTTCTTCTCCTAGTCCTATCATATTGCCTTAGGATCGGGGACTATGGTGGGATTTAGCATTAGCCGTTTCCATTCCTTCCTGACTCTGGGCCTGGGAGAACACTCTGCCAGTGATGTATACGTGTCTATTCAGTCACAGATGTCATTACCCTATACCTCCTTCGTAGTCTCATATGGCTCCTCCGTCTGTTAATGGTCCATTGTAATATACTAATGGTGATGTTACCCACACTTGTGACATGTCCCAACTCTCAAGTAATGCAATTTCCTCCTTTTATGATTTTAAGTTTGTTTCCATTCCCAGTTTTGCTAAAACAGAGTAATGGGTGAGCGATGGTCCGCTTAAATTATACGCAGAATCTTCCTGTAGCATTTCATCCTCAGGGCCTGGATCCTGCGGGTAGATCCCATGCCTCATAGCCACAGGTTATTAAAGGCAGCAGAAAAAAATTGCCCTCAACAGTCATTTTGTTCAAACTCTGTAAAGATTAGATATTCCAGATGATTTGTGGTCACTGTATGGTACTATTGTATGGGCTCTTCGGGCATTGGAAGCCCTTAGAATAAAGATAGACCCACAATCCTAACAGTGAGCCCTACCCCGGTGATTATAATAGGAAATGATAAGCTGACACAATGATGAACGTGTGTTTTCTCCAGAATAATACATACCCAGACACGGTCCTGCATAGTCCAACAACACACACAACTGTGGCAAATCACCGTGGGCAAATCTACGTTCTGGGATAAACTGTCCAGTACAGTGCCTGATCCTGAACCCATTTAGGCATAATATTAGATAGGCACGGCCCTTAATAACCCCCATTCCCTTCTCAACATGCATAACTTTGTTTTTCAGGCTTTTGATAAACTCCATAACCTGTGGGTTGCTCCTCTCACAATTGCGGTTATCATTTGGTATCTGATCAACTTCATGGGCTTGGCTGCCCTAGCTGGGCTCGCCTACATGTTTCTGACAATAGCCATCGAGGGCTCTATGACGCCACTTCATATTAGATATGGGTACGTAAAACATTTGATCAAATTGATTCGCAGAACTGTAAACCTAAGGGAATGCCTGGCATGTGTGAAACGTGTATTGACTGTGTAGGAGGTGTATGTGTGCAAGTGCGCGCTTGTGTGTGTGTGAGTGTGTGTGTGTGTGTGTGTGTGTGTGTGTGTGTGCGCGCGCGCGTGTGTGTGTTATGTTTGGCACTTATAAATACAAGATTTAGAACTGAGGGCATTTTAGGACAATAGTACTCAAGGCATACTACCGTTAAAGTTCATCCATGTTCGTTACATGTTTACAGATGAAACGTCGGATCCAACATAAAGAATGGTCCTTACCAAGGACATTTAATATAATGTCCTTGTTCTCACCTACAGCAGCTGACAAGTTGCTCTGTTCTTCCTCTTCCGACAACATTAAATGCATTACCCTTGTTATCTCCTAGAGCTTTTGACCAGTCTTTCTGGTATTTCTCTTCGACAACATTAGATATAATGTCCTTGTTCTCACTGAGAGCTTTCAACAAGTCACTCTAGTCTTTCCCTTTCACATAGGAAGACTAGACCCAATGGTCGTAAGCTCTAGGTGAGAAGAAGGATATTGTTCTTATGTTCTTGGTGAGAGCCATTTTTTGTGTTGGATCAAAAGTTTTAAATCTAAACATTCAGTTGATTTATTGTACTTAGTATTCGATTAGGTAGGCACTTGGGTTTGTCACAGCGTGTTAAAAGGACATTGGGATAGTACGGCAGCCTGCGAGTAATGTCACCGTTACCCGTTGTACTTAATGAAAGGGCCCCAAAACTTTTGAGGTCCAAGAAAGTACTGATAGCAACAAAGAGGAATAAAAATGCAATTAATAGGTTTTAACTATTTCCATGTTTCCTAAAATAGTTCCATCAGGTTGGCAGAACAAGGCCTATAAAGACATAGGATGTGAGAATTTCCTAATTCACGAACAGGAAGACTCACCTTGCTTACGTTTCGTTGCCTATCAGACACTTTCCTCACAGCTTCTGACTGGAATTAATGGATCAAAGAGGCGGTCTAGATAAGAAAGTCAATGCCGGTGATGAACCGAGATGGGGGGGGGGGTAAAAATCAGCCACGTTTGGGATTGTGTTCTTGCCGCTAAAGCGCCACGCACAGTGGCTACATATAGCGGCGAGAAGCAGAACTCCAGTCAGAAGCTCTGGGGAAGATGTTTGATAGACAACAAAACTGTGGGTCTTTCGAATCCTGGTTGTGAAATAAGCAGATTCTTAAATCCAGATTTTTATGTCCTTTTTAGCACATTGGAAAACGCTCGGAAAGACGCGCGTTTGGACGTGATGAGTCAGATTCTACAGTCGATGAGGATAATCAAGCTACAAGCGTGGGAGCAACCTTTTAGTGACGTCATCAACAGGCTGAGGAAGTAAGTTTCTTTTATCCTTGATTTAATTTTTGTGTTGCATAAGTGCCGATTAGAATATGACAACCTATCCCATCAATTAAGGGAATAAAGTTTTATAGGAATTTATTCAATAGATTAGAGATATGCCCTGTATGGCCCGCACTGAGATGTGCATGGTATGATAAGGCATTTTCATAACTAACAAGTTATATTCAGGCAGATCCTAGATAGGGTGGCATAAGACATGTATCCATTGGCCAGAGAGGGTCAAACACGCCACCCAAGGATCTGCAGAAAGTCGCACTGGACAAGGACACTGGAAGGGGCAATCTTTTCAGAAACGTGCACGTGTTATCACACCATTTAAATCAAGAAATAAGTTGGTTGAAAAAATGTAATACGTTATTTTACGTTAGTATCATCTAGACCATCCAAATTTAATCCGTATAGAGGATAAGTCTACTCAGGTCTACTCCACTCCACTCTCCACTCCACTTTTTATTCTTCTCTACTCTGCTCTGCTCTATCCTCTACTCCTCTCTACTCTACTCTACTCTACTCTACTCTACTCTACTCTACTCTACTCTACTCTACTCTACTCTACTCTACACTACTACTCCACTCAATTCCACTCCACTCCACTCCACTCTACTCTACTCTACTCTACTCTACTCTACTCTACTCTACTCTACTCTACTCCTCTCTACTCCTCTCTACTCTACTCTACTCTACTCTACTCTACTCTACTCTACTCTACTCTACTCTACTCAACTCCACTCCTCTCTACTCTACTCTACTCTACTCTACTCTACTCTACTCTACTCTACTCTACTCTACTCTACTCTACTCTTCTCTACTCTACTCTACTCTACTCTACTCTACTCTACTCTACTCTACTCTACTCAACTCCACTCCTCTCTACTCTACAATACTACTCCACTCCATTCTACTCTGCTCTACTCTGCAATACCCGCTCTACTCCCACCACTTTACTCTACTTACTCCACTCTACTGTACTGTACTCCTTTCTACTCCTCTCTACTCTATCCTACTCTACTCTAGTCTCCCCAACTCTACTTTACTTTACTTTACTTTACTCTACTCTACTCTACTCTACTCTACTCTACTCTACTCTACTCTACTCTACTCTACTCTACCCTACTCTAGTCTCCCCAACTCTACTCGACTCTACTCGACTCGACTCCACTCCACTCATCCCTACTTCACTGTACCATACTGTACTGTACTGTACTCTACTCCACTTTTCTCCACTCCACTCCACTCCACTCCATTCCACTCCACTCCTCTCCTCTCCACTCCTCTCCACTCCACTCCACTCCACTCCACTCCACTCCACTCCACTCCACTCTACTCTACTCTACTCTACTCTACTCTACTCTACTCTGATCTGCTCTACTCTACTCTACTCTTATCTACTCTACTCTACTCTGCTCTACTCTGCAATACCCCGCTCTACTCCCACCACTTTACTCTACTCCACTCCACTCTACTGTACTGTACTCCTTTCTACTCCTCTCTACTCTATCCTACTCTACTCTAGTCTCCCCAACTCTACTTTACTTTACTTTACTTTACTCTACTCTACTCTACTTTACTTTACTTTACTCTACTCTACTCTACTCTACTCTACTCTACTCTACTCTACCCTACCCTACTCTAGTCTCCCCAACTCTACTCGACTCTACTCGACTCGACTCCACTCCACTCATCCCTACTTCACTGTACCATACTGTACTGTACTGTACTCTACTCCACTTTTCTCCACTCCACTCCACTCCACTCCTCTCCACTCCACTCCACTCCACTCCACTCCACTCCACTCCACTCCACTCTACTCTACTCTACTCTACTCTACTCTACTCCTCTGTACTCCACTCTACTCCACTCTACTCTACTCTGCTCTACTCTGCTCTGCTCTGCTCTGTTCTGCTCTGCTCTACTCTACTCTACTCTACTCTTATCTACTCTACTCTACTCTGCTCTACTCTGCAATACCCCGCTCTACTCCCACCACTTTACTCTACTCCACTCCACTCTACTGTACTGTACTCCTTTCTACTCCTCTCTACTCTATCCTACTCTACTCTAGTCTCCCCAACTCTACTTTACTTTACTTTACTTTACTCTACTCTACTCTACTCTATTCTACTCTACTCTACCCTACCCTACTCTAGTCTCCCCAACTCTACTCTACTCGACTCGACTCCACTCCACTCCACTCCACTCATCCCTACTTCACTGTACCGTACTGTACTGTACTGTACTCTACTCCACTTTTCTCCACTCCACTCCACTCCACTCCACTCCACTCCACTCCACTCCACTCCACTCCACTCCACTCTACTCCACTCTACTCTACTCTACTCCACTCCTCTCCACTCCACTCTACTCTACTCTACTCCTCTCTACTCCTCTCTACTCTACTCTATCTACTCTACTCTACTCTACTTCGTCTAAACTTACATGAAATGGGACTTTTGACCCGGACTTGACTTGATATCAAAACCCTAAGTTCCATTACAGTGCCATAAGAAGTGTCATAAAGATATAGCACTTTTGACATCTCATCAAGACCTACCAGCCTTCCAAGTTCCACGACAATCTATTCAAAGCATGTTGGTTACTTGTGCTAAAGCGACGGTCACAACCTGCCGTACGTGCTTCTGCGTGCTGTCTACTTTCAAAAACGTGGGCAATAGTAGGGCATCCGTGCGTGGTGAGGAACACCTCCGTACGGAATCCTACGGATTTGGGAGCACGCCGTAGAACTTTAAGTGCATGTAAAACTTTTTCTAGGTGTGGTCTGCGGATTTACCACCCGTGCGTGCAAGTACGTGCGACGCGCGTGCCCCGTACAGCCTATGAGCGTGCAACGTACGGACTCCGTGAGACTAACTTCACTATTCTCACGTGCAATTGCTCTACGGACAGCGCACGAAGCACGTGCGTGCAACGCACGGTGCTTGCGTCATGCGTGCTTACTCCTCACTTCCCAGTTGACCTGCTCAATGACCACGCAGAACACGCGTGCACCATACCAGGTGCTCCGCACGTGCGAGGCATGTGCAACGCACCTGATTTTCTACAGTATATAAAGAAGACTTGACCGGCGACTGCCAACTCGTCTCCAAGATGCCCAGGAAGGCTCAGCAGAAGACTACCAGACAAGACCCAAAGAAACGGGCCGCGGAAGACACCAGGGCGGCTAGTGATGATGAAGTTAACAGGAGGTGCACGCACTTACAACGTGCGAGTGAGTAAGGAAACCGTGCGTACGCCGCACGTGTAGGTACGGCCTGTCCGAGGCAACGTGGCAATCGCACAGAGATCGTACGTTGTAAGCACGTACAACTCACTTACCACTTGCGCAACGTACGATGCACGCAACCACTCACGGCCAGGCGTGTCGTGCAGACCACGTACGTACACCTTGCGCAGCCGTGCGAATGACGTACTCCCTCGGCCGGTCACCCTACGTTTTCAGAAAAAAACGTAGCAGACGTAGCTTCCCAAAAAACGTACGGACAAAAACACGCACGGCGGGTTGTGACCGTCGCTTTAATCACGTATATATATATATATATATATATATATATATATATATATATATATATATATATATATATATATATATATATATATATATATATATATATACAAATACACACGTGCAAACGCTGCTCAAAACATAACCTCCTGTCGAATGTAAAACATCATATCATTGCTTTATAACAGGATGGAGCTGAAGGTAATAATAAAAGGTGAAATAGTGAAGGGAGTCGCCGAGGTGTTCGTCTTTTTGGGCATGGATCCTACCATTTTCATCATCATGATTACGTATGTCCTCATGGGAAACGTGTTGACAGCAGAGAAGGTTTGTTTTGCTTGCTAGTTTGTTTATTTGCTTATCTGTCTTCTCAACATTAAATTGTATTAATAAAATGTAGATACTATAATCTTCCTTAAGTCAAATACATACGAATTAAGATACCTTTACCTTTTTTTATATATTAATGACAAACACTCAGAAGTTACAAGTTAAACCTGAATTTTTTTTACAATTTTAGAACGGCAAAACAAACCAAAAATGTATGAAATGAAGTTTACTGGCATTGCGTAGTGCAGTTTTGCCATTATTTGATACTCGCTACTCGCAACAGCCCGACCGGTCTACGGTTTGGAAATGTAACCCAAGGATTTGGCTGGAAGTAACCTCTACATTCCATACTGTAGTACAGTCCACATTTTTTTCTATAAGTTTTCTTAACGCAGGCTACTGATGAGAAGATGAAAAGACCCCGACAAGGTCTACAAGGTCTGCAACACTCCAAACCTTCACCAACAGTCATTATCATATTGTAAATAATCACCAACAGTTATTATAATATTGATTTGAATTAATTCATCCATTCATTCATTTGTATGCAAGGCGTTCGTGACGAAGATGTTTTTGGAGCTACTGGAGAAACCCATGAATGGCTTCCCAGAGGCTCTTGCTGAACTGGCAGAAGTCAGGATTTCAGTCAAGCGACTCCAGGTATGACAACGTAACGAAGACAGTAAAGATAAATACTAGAAAGGCATACGTTTGCTCGGAACAAATAGACTGGTCAGTGCATGTGCTCTTTAGTATGGAATGTTTTGATGTAGTTTCCAATACCCATACAGTGTTATTTGTAAAATATTCTCTAAACCACAACAAGAAGCCATAGGTGACAATTATCCGTGAAGTATTATATATTGCAACAAAAAGAAGTAGCCATTGGCGACAATTCTCTGTGAAGTGTGATAAATCGAACAAAGAAAAAGTGTTTAAACGCGCGTCGGCTCAGTCATCTTAAGACGCAACAACCAATCAGAGATGCGAAATGCCGACACGTGACGCGGGATTTGCATACAGTCTAAACAACGGGGAAGGGCGCGCGATGCCCGAAATATTTTTGCGTCAATATTCAGCGCCGTGTTTCAAGAAATTAATACCGGGAAACAATTCCTTGTCTTGTTTTGAACGCATACACATGCATTTACGCTAATGTAGTATGATTCAGGGTTACTTTTTTTTTTATCTGCCATGGCCAGATTATCTAAAGATGTGTGTATTGTGTGTACAATCTACAGAAAGAGAAATGTATATCAGGTCCGATCATCCGATTTTCACGTTTCGGTTTTTTGGACTCGGTTCATGAACGTATTTTGGTTTGGCTCCTGGAATGTGCTCCCGGGACTGTCTACAGGGAACACTCGCACATTCGCGGTGTATCAGGACAGCGCGACTGGTCGGCATTAGCGCAGTCCCTGCAATTAGTAACAGTTGCACATCAATCCGGCCGAAAGCATGATTGTGTAACACAGACTACTTCTTCATATACCGGCTCATACTACAAGACGCCTTTACAACTAGCAAATCATAAAATTACCCGATCTACTAGTATGTGCGGTTTACCAGCCCCAGACCACATCCGACCACGAGGCAGAACACATTGATGGGTTGCTCAAAAATATTGTCCATGTTTACAAAGAAGCGGCCAGCATGCTCGTTGCTAGGACGACCGGCCAGTTGCTACGTGACTAAATACACGCCGCCACTAGGTCGCCACACCCGACCAGTTTGAAATCGATAGGATTACGTCATCGGCATTAACATTTCCTAATGTTGACCTCTGACCACCCCACATTTCCGTCCCCATCAGCCCCGCCGCGACTTACTACCGGTGACATAAACGGACGACAACATTTCAACGACATGGGGATGTTTAAAAAATAACCATTTACTCCAATATCAAAACAGCTACGGTAAAAATAAAAAGACGTGCATCATCCCGGACATAATGTCACACCACATGCGAAATTACACAGAAATGCGACGTACGGAAGAATGCGTTTTGACTGCGAACATCTTCCAAAAAAACTTGCCATCTCTTAACCATGGGCAAAAACATCTGGAACCACTTGTCAAAACCACCCCGTATCTGCATGAAGTTACACCCCCCACTGCTATTCCAGACAACGCGTTTTTCTGGACCATTCCAATTCGCCTCGTAATTTTAGGGGTGCGTCTGCAATATTACATTGACCGCGAAAGCAGCAACGGCAAAAATACACATTCTTGCATCAACACGGGCATTCCCGCAGACGGCGTATAAAATTGCGTGCCGATTACACAAAGAGAACCCAGTGTTTTGACTGCGAACACGAAAAATCAGCCGATCACAACACTCCGTCCGGAGGTCGTGACCTCCTTCACGGAGTAATAAAGTGCTTCTAGTACAAAGTGTGTTCGAAGCCCCTATGTAGTAATTAATCTCCCCATGTAGTAGAAGTACCTCAGTCAACCTAGGACCCCAGGCGTATATTTTTATGTGCTATTTGAAAATTTTTGATTCGACAAACAATTCCTCCCGTGACTTTGTCAATAAACCTCTTTTTCAAGTTCTGCTATTTTTTTATATTGGCATAAATTTGTAAAAATAACAACGGGTAATAACAAAGTCTGATGAAAGACCGGCTGAGGTCCAAACGGACCCCAGCCATATGTGTACTTTCCTACACATGAAATTCTGTTCGGATGTCCTCAATATGTCTTCAAGGAACATAGCTTCTACTTTACTAGAGGGATGTTCTATGTCTGTGAGTTTTGAGTTGCATATTTGTCTTTAGGCAAAGGAATGGATAGTGACGTTAAAGCATGATATACTACACAGCACAACAAAACAAATTAAGATGCTACAAAATAAAAATTGCATTAGGCACAGGATTACTTAAATCCAGTTTGATACCATCAATTTTCTGTGCAAAAAATACCAGGCAATTGTTTTTCGATTTTGATGTGTACTTTTTGGCTAATTACACGTGAAGAACTTGCTTTAGTTTACAACCTAATTCTGCACTTCCTTTTTGTAGACTTTTCTTGCACTAGATGAGTACCAGCCTCCAAATCCTGTCATTGATGAATCTAGCGAAGACGTGTGCAAATTGAGTCCTTCTTCAAGTGAGGTGGTGGGCCCGAAGGGAGTCACCATGGACCTCAACACTGCAACATGGAAGACGGTTAGTCAGGATTAATAAATGTACGAAATTAGAAAGTAAAATCCCTAATATTTGGACAGTATTTTTGTCAGGTTATTGCTTAAATCAAATTATGCACATTAGCTCCTT